TCTTATCAACTGATGAATGGATAAATAAAATGTGGTGTAATCATACAGTGGAATGTTATTTGGCAACAAAAAAGAAGGAAGTACTGATACATGCTATAATACGGACGAACCTGAAAACATCATGCTACGTGAAGAAGCCAAACACAAAGAACATATTGCAGGATTCCATTCATATGAAATGTCCAGCATAGGCCAATCTATGGAGGCAGAAATTCAATCAGCGGTTGCCTAGGACTGAGGAAAATGGGGGGATTAGAGGACATTCCAAGCAAGTGCTGCAGGTAATGATCCATGCTTGTAACAATATTTGTTACTGCTACCATTCCCACAACACTGCTTCCTGTTTGTTAGAAGTTGCTTTCCCCTCTCCAACAAATCACTTCCTTCTTCCTCATAACGTTGTTTCAGAAACTTCACCCATCTGAGAGCTTCCCCAGTCAACCCCACCCATCCCTCACCACTTTTCTTCCCAATGTGCCAGCCATCTCCCACAGGGGTCGTTGCCTTGTTCTGGGTTGATTCCTTGGCTCTGTTGTCTACTTTTTATGTCTACGCCATCTTTTCCACAGTAGGGCAAGCTCCTAAAGGCGGGCACCAGGCCTCCCTTTCTTCCGGTGTCTCCAGCTGCTCGGAGTCCTGAGTTGCCATTGAGGGATGTGGGCTCACCGACAGAAGGACTTGGTGGCCCCCAGGATCCAATCCCACTGTGCCCAACCTTCCTCTGTGTGAGCACACCAGTGGCCCATTGGGCTCCTTTTGATATGCCCAGACTCTTTGACCATTTCCTCTTCCCACTGCAGTGTGAGCTACTCGAGGCCAGTGACCATTCTCACCTGAAATATGTAACCTAGAATACCGTTCTAGCCTTCAAGTTAATTCAGATGGTTTGGCAGTTTGGGTACATGTGGATGGTAGTTTTGGGGGTGCTGGTGGTCGTGAAGGTTTTGATAGAGGCTTTAGCAGAGATGAAGGTAGTTGGGCAGTGGTTGTGATGGTGACTCTGCTTTTGGAGTTGGGGGTAGCATAGAAAGAGGGGTCTGTCGTCTGCCTTGTGTCCTCACTGATCACATTCCTTTTGGCTTCAGCTGTTGTCTCAGTTTCTTGGCCAGGAATGTTGTCCAGAGCCTCCTCAAAAGCAGCTATGGCATCTGAGGCCTTTTCTTTAAGTTGCAGAAATATATTGCCCTAGTGGGAGACTTGCCTGCTCAACGCTCCCCAGTGTGTTGAGCTTTGAACTTGCCCTCCTCCCGCTCCTGCCCAAGGTCACACTGTCTGGCTGCTGAGGATGGGATGCGGCTCCTAAGCCAGACACATCCAGCACACAGGGCCAGACGGCCACTGGATTCCAGGGATGGCAGACCCAGGGACACAGATCTGGAATGGAGGCCCCAGCAGGGTACTAACCCCTTCTTTATTGCTTGGCCAAGGCCCTTGGTGTCAGGTTGTGAGGTGTGGGCTCCTGAATGAGATGGTGGAGGTGGGCCACAAGGTTCCCACTTAAAGGGAAGCCCCCATGCAGAGTATGTCTGACCCTGTGGCAGGCAGCCCACCCTTCAAGGGGCACCTTCATAGGCAGTCTCCGTGAGTCTAGCCATCATCATCACCCAAGCCATGGGGCTCCCTGTGTTCTCTTTCAAATTCTAGGGCAAGTATGGACAAAACTCAGACCCCTCTCTCCTGGTCCTCTAGGAACAACTCAAATCAGTAAGATGTCTTGGCTAAGTACCTTCCTTGCATGAGGTATTTGCACATCAAATTTCTAAACCAGGCCTCTCTACCATACTGTGAAGAAAATTGCTTCCACCTTACAGATGAAGAAGGAGAGGCTCAGAAGGGTGAGCTGATTTGTTTAATAATCCAGGTCTTCTGTCTCCACATTCAGTTTTCTCATTCCACAGCTGCCTCCCAGCTGGGACAGGCCAGCACATACTGAAAAAGAAGTTTGCTAAAGGCTAAGAGAAAACAGGTGTGAGACACTCACAGTTAGTCATGCTTCCAGAGATTCTGATGAAGCTGTAGAAGCCTCCTGTGCAAGGCCTTGCCTGGCCCCAGGAGTACCTTTGCATCCAGCCTGATGCTGCACCCAGAAACCCCTTCTTCAGAGCTGAAATGCCCTTTCCTCTCCGCCTCCCTTCTCTGCCCACAGGGCCCCCTCCAGACCCCCTTCTGTGGCCCTGGGAGAAACAGTGCATAAGGACTGCATATCACAGCCTCGGCCCAGGGGGCTGTGCCCCAGGCAGGAGCCATTTCCCGTAACACACTGCCCCCCACTGTAGATCTCTCATCTCCCCCCAGTAGACAGGGCTCAGGTGGTTTTTCCCACCTCCAGATCTACCCAAATCCAGTGCCAAATCCAAGCTCAGTGCCTGAAGGATGTTCCATCCCACCCCCTACATCTCCATCCAGCAGGAACGGGAGAGGAGACAAATACCCGGAGATACAGAAGCCACTAGAGACGGAAGAAATGAGAGGTGAGGCAGGAGAGGTCCCAAAACTTATCTCCACACACCTGAACAAAGAGGGGCTTTTCTGCATTTAACTTGCGCCATGTGCCCAGTGCCTCCTGGGAGTGACTAGAAACAAATACAGGTGGCCTGACGGCCTCAGACGCTTAGGTCCAGTCCCAAGGGACTGTAGCTCTTACTAGGGAGGGTTGGGAGAGCCAGGAATCCCTAACCAAGAGAGGGCTTATAGACTCAGACACCATATCCAGGCAACCGGGGCAAGGGCCAGTGGTAGAGGACACGGCACCGTTTGCACATTTTATTACAAGCCGTGCTTTCTTTCACTCTTGCGAGTATCCCAGTTTGACTGCTCCCCGTACACTGCTCTACTCTACAGTTGCTGACTCTGGTCTCCAGGCTTTGTCGAAGGGGAAATGATGATGTGACATCTGACGGTTTGCAATGAACTTGGCATCTAGAATTCTGCTGAGTGTTCAGTGGGGTTCCCACAGGGAGCTGCTTTCTTTCAACCTCCGCTTTGAAGGGGGGGAGGGGCAGCACTATTCAAGACTCAGCTGAGTAGCATGATACTTGTTAAGCACCTACTATATGTAAAACATAATATTTAAGCCAGGAATGAGTAGGTATACAAAAATAAGATGATTTAATGCCTTTAAGAAGTTTATATTCATGGGCAGAAATACAAGAAAATAATCAGTTACAATATGCAAAGAAAAAGGAAATAAAAATAGAAAAAAAGAAAAAATAATAAAAAAAAATAGTCAGCAAAGGGTTGTAGGAACCTAGAGGAGTCTGAAGAGAAAGGCCTGTAGAGGAGATAATAGTTGACCTGAGTTTAAGAAAACATGGCTTATTTATTTTACTTTAAGTACGCTCTGTGCTCAGTGTGGGGCTTGAACTCACGACCCTGAGGTCGAGTCTCACGCTCCACTGACTGAGCCAGCCAGGTGCCCCAAAACATGGCTTTTTTAAACAAGAGAGGACTGGGGCACCTGGGTGGTACAGTCGGTTAGGCGTCTCTTATTTTCAGCCTAGGTCATGATCTCAAGGTTCTGAGAGTAAGCCCTGCATCAAGCTCTGTTTCATGCCTGCTTAAGATTCTGCCCCTCCCCTGCCCTCAAACAACCAACCAAGAGAGGATCAAGGGATTACAGGCTAATAGCAAAGACTTAAAGGTGTGAAAATAGTGGCCTGTTTTTAGGAATACTGAGTAGAAATGGAGGGTTGGAGCCAGATAATGAATGGCAAGCTAAAGAACATGGGCCACTATATAGTGGGAAAAACACATCCCCTGAGGAGTTTTGGTGGAAAGCATTTGACCAGCTTGCATTTTGGGTCAGCATTTCGACAGGAGTATATACAATGGTCTGGAGAAAGACACTGAGGTGGAGAGACTGGTTATGAGCTGTAGCTACGATATGGAAAAAAAAAAGGGAGGTGGGCCTTAATTAGGGCAGAGGGAGAGAGAGAAGGCGGTGGTGGTGGTGATGTTTAGGACCTGGCGTGATGGAATTTATCTGGAAGGGACAGGAGAGCTGAAATAATTCAAGGCTTCTAGCCTGGAAGGCTAAGGAGGCCACGGGACTGCTCACTAAGGCAAGGAGCACTGTTAGACTTTCGAGAAGCTGTCTGAGGAACCTGGAAGATGCCGGTGGGGGCGCTCGGCACTAAGGAGATAGGCCAAGCCCGCTGCTGGTTTGTCATTGTGCCTGTAGTGAAAGATCCACCGGGGAGAGCAAACGCCGGGGGCAGAAGGCAGGAAATGCCTCTGTTTAAGGGGCAAAGCAGGGTGTGAAAGGTGAAGGAGACCGAGAGATAAGACCCTGTTACCTTCCTGGAAGGTAAACCCAGGGAATCAAAAAAAGGGGCTGTTTACCTTAGTGTCCAACAGAACAACCTGCGATGATGAGAATGTTCCATTCCTGCACCATCCATGACGGTAGCCACGGGGCACATGCACCTACCGAGCCCTTGGCATGTGACGAGGAGGAACTCAATTTTAACTTTAGAGCCAGCCCCCTGAATTTTTAACACAGTAGTTTACAAAAATAGCTAGGTTTAAGATACGATTTCTGCCGATGGTCAGCAGAACCAATACGAATAGCTTAAAAGCTTTCTTGGCTGCATTCGACACAATATATTGAGAAACTTTAGAATGAGTGCCTTTGGAATGGTCCTTAATTCTCAATGAGTTCATCTGAATGAACTGGCTGAAAGGGCAACTGCACTGTTTGAACTGCTGAGAGTCCTCAACAGACTGCTCATTTGAGCTCTATTTCACCACAACCATTCACCCTCCCCACTCCACCTCTTGTGAGCAGCGTGGGAGCTTTGCCTGGGGACCGTGCCCAGGAACACAGGCTGAAGGGACCAGAGCCCACGCCCAGGACTCCAGGCACGCTGGGCCCCACACCCCTTGCAACCAACCGGCTCTGTCACTGGTCCTTCCAGCACGTAACCCCATCATTGGATATTCAGAGCCAAGGTTCTTATACCCCAAAGCCATTCCCAGAGAACAATTTTATACACCAAGAGTTTTACAAAATCCAAAATAATTTTATTCACTTTTTCAGATTTTTGCTTCCACGAGGTGTTCAGCAAACATGCTAAGGCGACAGAATGTCTAGTTGGTCACGACATGCAACGCTGACCGTTCGGTGGATGACAGCAGCGACCACGCCCACCCGAGCTACTGGTCCCACAGCACAAAGGGGGTTTGCGGGAACACACGGAACCACACAGCAATCAGCAACCTGAGGTAGGTCTCTTTACAGTACAAAAAACTTCTACACCAGTGTGAGACACTGATTAGCAAGAGCTGCTTAAAGTCGCAGACTTTGGAGAGAGACAGACTGTGTGACAACTGCAGCGGGAGAGAACAGACCCACAAACTCCGGAACCCTGTCACTGAACTGTGGAGGCGTGGGACCAGGCAAATGACAAAGTGCCACTGACGAGAGCAGCGGCTGCTCCGGGGCTCGGAGCCGGCAGGTGTAGGGCTGGAGAGCTCTGTGCAGCGGCCCGCGTCTGGAAACCCGGGGCAGAAGCAGTCTGTGAACGGACGGGATTCTGGTTAAGAAACAACAGCAAAAAGAGGGAGGCAGGAAAGGGACTCCCCCTGTCCGAGGAACGTTCTTCTGTGACTCTCATTCCTGACGGAGGGAGTGAAAAGGGGGCCGGGGCTGTACCCCGCTGCTCTCCTGGCAGAAACAGTGAATGACAAGAGGACAGAAAGCAGGAGCCCTGAGAATTCACGGCGCTCTGCACGGCCTCCGGCAGCCCCCTCCGCTCCCCGTCGCCCGGGTGTGGCTGTGAGGAGGTGCAGAGGGGGCCCCCCCGGACGGCCCGCTATTGCCACACGTCTTCCTTTTGGACGCCCAGAGAACCCGGCACCGTGAAACCACCAGTATGCTACCCTTCCTACAATCTAATAGCAAAATCAGATCTCTAGTACAGCAAACTGTACAAAAATGATAGAAAGGAATTCGCACTGTTATCAGGACAGTGCTTATTTTAATATAAAATAAACAGCTTACATTTTCACTGTAAATATAGGCTATGTACAGAATTATATATAGATATAGCTACACGTATAAAGCTTCATTATAGGCCTCTGATACATTTATAATAACGGTTCCCTGAACCTTTTAGAGTGCAATTAAGAACAAAAACTAAATTTTGTTTACATGAATATGGAATAAATACAATAATCAAAATAGGACTCTCCCTAAAATTGAAACACACAAGCCAATCCTGAACTGCTGTGCGAAAGATCAAACTGGGAAAGGCAAGGTTTCGGCAGGAGGACGCGATGAGGGGCCCGCCCTAGGCAGGGAATGGCAATGCTCCAAGGAAAAGAGCCAGCAGCGGGGAGGAGTTAGCCCTTGACAGCGACCTTGTTCTCCACTGCGGCAAACATGGCATAGAACCGGGAGCTGTCATTGGACAGAAGGACTGATGGGGTGTCGAACTCCACCACCTGCAAAGGAAGGAGACACGTCACTCGGGGTCACTCGGAGGACCACTGCCAAGAAGGGGGCAAACCCCAAAGCCCCCTGGGGGTGGAATCGCAGTGACAATTCCATGAGTCCTGCCATGCCCCAGTGGGTTCCACTTTGGGTTTTTTGTTTTTACTAACTCGGGTATAAGGGAAAGGTTAGGGACAAAGACATCCAGACCTCCTTCACATAAATCTCAGGGGGGGAAAAGTTGCAGCTCAAGTCAAGGGCATAGTAGGCAAATGTCATCTTGTTGGACAAACTGGAAAGAGAACAGCTCAAAGTACCCAGTTGGCAGAATAAAAAAGTAAGGGATTCATTCAATTATCCACTCCTATGATGGACTTCTATGCAGCCACTGAAAATCCTATTGTAGTAAAAAACGGAACGAAATGCTGGCAGAACCTGCCTTCCATGAGAGAGGCAGCAAATTGTCGCCTACGCACTTTCCCAGCCTTTCTTGCTACAGGACCAAGGCATGGGGCACAGCCTTGACCGAGGAGAAGCCTCTGAGGTGCTTCTAGGGCAGGCTGTTCTGCCCGGAAGATATAGGCAGAGGGCGAAGTACGCTTCCCCGGGCCTGCCCGTGTGGGGCTGAGACGGTGGGTGCTAGCACAGACATCCTTCACCAGGAGGGGGAAGGAAGGGGGGTACTGGCTGGACGCTGACGCAGATCCTGACATCGCTGAGCTGCTGAAGAACCAACCCTCTGGCCTCCTGCTGGGGGCTAAGAGAATCCTACTGGCCAAGCCTCTTTCCTTCTGATAGTGTGTGTCCGCAGCACAGCACGTCCTATCCACTAGAGTCTGTGTGTACGGATGCATGAAAAATGCTGGCAGGGGGCAAATGAATGTATTAATGATGCTTATCCCTGGGGAGGTAAATGACTCATCTTATTTTTGCCTTTATGCTTTTTTCATGTTTTTCAGGATTTCCTAAAATTGCAAGGAAATTTTCATTCGCAAGAAACAAAAATGAAGGGAAGGGAAGGACAGAGTTCCTCAAAAAGAGCCAATGGATCCCCATTCCAAAACACGAAGCCACTCATAGAAATAAAGTGGTCTAGATGTGTCTTTAAGGAAGAATTTCCCAGAAGGTGTTCTTGGTCCCCCCCCGCTTTATTTTATTATATTCTACTTAATACCTGTGTACAGAGTAGTAGCTCTGTATATCGAAACGTGTAATAGAATCTCACTAAACATTTAGGATAATGCAAACCAAGACAGTAACAAAAACCACTAATGTTAACATAATCTCAAGATGAGGAGAAAAATCATTAACTCCTATATTCTCTCAAAGTCAGCTCTGTAGAGCGCAGCCTACATCTGTTGCAGTAAATGTTTTCCTCAAGACTTCTCCACAGAGAGAGAGGGACGGGGCAGTCTGGCTGCGTAAAGTGCCGGCTTTGGCGTCGCTGGCCCAGCTCAGCTCCGACTCTCCCTTCCTGTGGACTGGAGATAGTGTAAGTTCCCTGAGCCCATCTTCTCTTCTGGAAGGCAGGCTTAACACATCTGTATCTTTCTCGGTGGTTGTGATGACTAATTACATGTTGGGGGACTGTATGTAAAGCCCTTAGCGCGGTGCCTGACGTACAGTAAGCATTCAACGGAAGAGGCTATTATGGGGGCCATTATTATTAATCACACAAGTTCCACATTGCAACTGGCTTGTTATTTCTGCCAAACCACTAATTTCCTGCCATCCCAGGCGCACACAAAGGAGCTATCTGTCCAACATAAATTTACTTAACATCTTAAGTGACATACTTAACATCTACCATGGGCAAAGACTGTAGCATGGAGCCCTGCCAGGGACCCAAAGATGAGTAAGGCATGACCCCTGCCCTTAGAGAGTTTACAGTCTAATAGGGGAGAGAGGGCATTAGCCAGTTACCATGACAGGAGGCAGAAGAGCCACACGAGAGGTACACATAAAGTTTCAGGCGGCAGAGGCCATTAGGCCTCTGAAAGAGGAACAGGAGGCTGCAGGAAGCAGACGTGGGGATGTGGCAGAGGGAACGAAAGGAAAAGGCATTAGAGGTACATGGCACTGAGTGAGGAAAGACATAGAGGAGAACCAGTTTAGGGGATGCAAGATTGTTTGTAGCCACTGGCACCTGCAAGAACAAGTGGGAAATGAAGGCGGCCGGGCTGGGCCAGATTGTGGGAGAGCTTGGAACAGCAGTATAAGAAGTCTGGCACCACTACGTGATTGCAAAAAGCAGACTTGAGGTGGCTGGTCTCAACACACCTTGGGCAATTCCTGTGTGCATGAGTTAATTAGTAAGTACATGAGCTCTCTGACCTAAGTCAAAGTGTCATTTTTTTTTTTTTTTAAAGATTCTATTTATTTATTTGAGAGAGAGAGAGAGAGCGCACAAGCAGGTGGAGTAGCAGGAAGAAGGACAGGGAGAAGCAGGCTCCCCGTTGAGCAAGGAGCCCAATGCGGGGCTCGATCCCAGGACCCTGGGATCATGACCTGAGCCGAAGGCAGTTGCTTAACCAACTGAGCCACCCAGGCACCCCTCAAAGTGTCATTTTTACAGGCAACAAAAAAGCAGGTACTAAAGCAAAATGAGAACCAGTAAGAGTGCCCCTACTCAATCTCTGGCTTGGGAGGGCTACGTCCCTCCCAGCCGCAGCCAGATTAGAGTTGCTAAGGCTGCTTATCTGAAAGCTAAGAATCTCACTAAGATGGCAATCAGCCCAATCCTGCCAGGGGCCAGTTTTCCGCCCAGACGAGGCCACATGCCAAGCCATGGTCCCTCAGGGGCTCAGTACCTGTCCCTGGGCCAGCACCATAATCCTATCAGAGCCTAGGACTGTATGTAGGCGATGGGCAATCGTCAACATGGTGCAGTCAGCAAATGCTTCTCGGATGGTCTCCTGGATTAGCAGGTCTGTCTCCGTGTCCATGGCAGCTGTGGCTTCATCTAGAATCAAAATCTGCCACGAGAGAGGAGAAAGAGAGATCCAACCATTTCCCTAAGCCTTTTCCTTAATCTAGGTTTCGCTAAAATGTATTTCATTATTTAAATTTTACACCATAATCTGTTTTTCCTAAGTAGGTACACACCTATGTAAAAGGACCATTTTGCTTAGAATAGATACAACTTCAAACCCATGTGTTTGCCTTCATTTCCACACACAAAAGGACATGCATGTAATATTGATGTAACAAAACACTTGCTCCTACTTGCCCTGTGACCCTGAGCATGAATAGTCATCTTTCTGGATCTTCTATTTCCAATTACAAAATAAGGGGACTGGATTTGATGGCCTGGAGGTCTCTAAGTCTATGGTTTCCAACAGTACTACAACCACTCACTAGCCAGAAACAAAAGTCACCCTTGGAAATTAAAGGCTCAGGAAGTCTGAAGGCTCAAAAACACCTGGATACCCAGATGGTGTCAAGGTGAATTTAGAAACATCTGTGCGCATGCTCCTAAAAAGCTTCGGTGGGCTTGGAGCCAGGAATGCCTTTGCACCTCATGCTGGGAAAGGCTGTAACCCCTTCCCTGCCACTCCACAAGCCACCTTACCTTACAGTGACGGAGCAAGGCTCTTGCTATGCACAGGAGCTGCCGTTCCCCCACCGAGAAGTTATCCCCATTCTCCATCACTTCAGATTCAAGTTTCAGAGGTAGCTGAGCAATCTAGAGAGAAAGGAAGTAGAGACTAGAAGAGTCAAAAAGTAAATTTTGAAGAAAAAAAAAAACTGAACTAAATTTTATCCAAAATCCAGTGGCAAAAATAAGCTATTCTGAAACAGATGCAACAATTACTAGCCAAGAATCTGGCTCATCTAGAAAGAAGGTACAGAGGTGATGATCATGTGTACTAGGACCCTCATTTTCTAAGACATTCCATATTTCAAATATACTATTCTGTTAGCCTCATACCATTAAAAGGTCTTAGAAATTCCAGTATTTTCATATCCCCAAATCCTGTCAGACTGTGGCCCTAATTTTTGGTTCTGAAAATATGGTCACGCCATAGGAGATGGGGAAAGTGAGATCACACTTTCTGATTTCCAAGGCTATAGATACACGGTTGTCAAACTTGCCTTTATAATAAGCTAGGAGCCTATCCTTCAAATGAAATGGTTTGAGGAAGCCCAATATCAAAGTGATAAAGGCGGAGCTGACCTAGCTGAATCAGGGCAGGGGATCCTGAGCTTAATTCGGCTCAGGGGCATGAGAGATCCTACTCCTGGGCAGAGGTATCAGTCTGTTGACCGTGGCCTCGGGAGGGTGCGTGCTGAGTTACCCTAAGAGATCAAGGACCCCATGTGCATGCTGCGTGCTTTCTGCAGACTCGATTCATATCCAGATGCTGCAAAAGCATGTTATACCAGTATGATGAATAAAGTAGAAATTCATTTAAAAGCATTCCAGAATTCTGAGTGTTTGTCATTAACATCTTGCTTAATCAATGGACAGCAGAAGGGCAGTATGACCATGGTTGAGGGATATCAACTTTTATGCCCTTTCTGAAATGCCTGGGAAGCCTTATCTAAAGTGATCCTACACAGATATCCTGGAAGTAAATGGACAGACCAGGCTGGACAGAGGCAGCCAGAGCAGGCTGGGGAGTGACCACAGCATCATTACGTTTCCACTCTTGAAATTCCAGCAAAGCCCTCCCTCAGGGCTTTACTTACACATTCTTTCATGTGTGTCCTTTCTAGGGCATCCCAGATCTGGTCTTCAGTGTACTGGTTGAAGGGATCCAAATTTGACCTAGAGAGAGGCACAGGAGGACTTTCTCAGTGAGCCAACATGTAAGTGACTATATTGCAAAGGCTGTCTGTGGTAAACGTTTAAACAGGCATGGGAAAAGGAGGGATCAAACTCCTCAAGGTCACAGATGCCTCGCTCCCCAACCAGCCTTAGGTAGCAGTTAGAAATGCTGGTGCCTGCCCATCACAGGAATGTATCTGAGAACAGGCTGGGCCTCTCCATCTTCTTTATAACACTTTATTTATTATAATGTCTATTATTTTTATTATGTAAATACAGGTTACAGAAAAATTAACAAATACAGATATGTGAAACATAAAACCAAACCGATGATGTTTTAATCACCTCTAATCAGACCCTCAGAAGCAAACACTGCGAGCATTTTGGCATATACATGTCACAACACATCTCTCTGTGTGTACAATCTTAGAAAAACAGCCTCTTTCTTCCTGACGCACTAGGGTGAGAGCCTGTCAGTGAGCAGGGACCCGAGGGTGGCTGGCTCAGCGGAGCAGAAAGGAGAGCGTGAAGAGCATCTCAAGAGGAAGGAATTTACTGGTACAGAAAACCAGTTTGGGGACTCTTCTTGCTTACTGTACCAATAGCAGCTGTCTCAAGAACATCAAGGAGGACACCAAAAGGACTAGACATTTCCGGAAATGTTAAAGACAGGGGAAACAGCTCTTTGTCATGGAGGATAAAGGTGGAGAGGTGGTGGTAGAATGGACAACTGGTGGAAATTGGGAGGTTACATTAATTTTGGGGTGTCTTGTCTCCATCTAAACATGACATTTACAGGTCTAGTAACATGAAAGGTATGAGGTGTAACTTTGCTCATAAACTTATACTTCATATATGGGAAACAGGAAGTCTTTGGGAGAACTTTAGCTCTATGTCTCATTTGTCTCCATGTTTGGGGTTACTAACTCCAGGCATGCAAATGCACGCAGGACATTATCCCAGAACTCCACCAAGCACAGGCTGGTACCTGCCTCGCTCATCCCTTTGGGCCACCTCTGGACTCTCCAGGGAGATTCTAACTGGCTCTGCTTTCTTGTGCCTCTTGCTCTTTGCACATGGAATATGTGCACCCCTCCCCATCCTTTGGCTTGAGAGACACTGGCAAAAGGGCTCTGGGGTCAGACTTGCTGATTCCTACACAGCTTCTATCTATTACAACTGTGTGACCCTGACCAAGTTAGCCTAACTTCTCTATGCCTCAGTGCCCTCATGTGTAAGACAGGGGTCAAAAAGCACCTCCTCAAGAGGTTGTGACGGCTGCATTTCACGTGTAGAAAGTATTTAGAGCAGCCCCCACTGCATGGTTAGCCCTGTGCAGGCAGGGGCTACGATTATGATGATGTCCTTATTGTCACTGCTGTTACTCCTTGACTAGGATTCCTTCCTGTCCTTCAGGTCACAACTTAGATGCAGAAAGCGTCTCCTGACCCTTCAAGCCTGACTTAGGTGTCCTCATGCTCACCCTCTTTCTGGCACTTGTCACTCTGTTCATTTGTCTCTGCCCCCATTGGATCAGGATCCTTGTCTGGATCTTCTTCACTGTTGAATCCCATGTATACTGTCTAATATTTGTTGTAAGAATAAAAGAACATATAGCCTTGCTTGACTTCCTGAGAAAAGGCATCAGTATGTGACAATTTAAGCATTTTCTGTCATGACAGAGGCAAAGAACAGTGTGTTGGAGGGAGCACGTGCACACGTAGTTCCAGGCAGACTGGGTTCAAATCCCCACTCTGCTTCTTATCGTCTGCATGACCTTGGGCAAACCACTCCTCCGTCTCCTCCTCTGTAAAATGGGGATATAGTGACATGACTCAGTAGGTTGCTGTAAACATTAGAGACAGTACATACAGTGCCTGGAACAGAGCAAACATTTACTTAGTGGCAACTGTTAAATTCCCAAGATACGTGTGGACACGTTAGCTGCCTGGTTCCAGTGCTTGGTGGTTTTCTGATTTATATTCATTGCACTTTCCAAGTGGACACAATAATCCCGGGATCCTGAATACCAGGCTCAGAAAGAGTTCTGATAAAGTCCTATCTGTGCAAAGTCTGGACGGGGAAGACCGATCTTCTATAGGCATACCATCTAATATCTCATATCTCTATAGTCCTATCTCTTAAACAAGAAGGTGGTCCAATTTGCTGATAATCTAAACTGTGAAATGGCAGACCACGGGCTAAGTCTAAGGAGAAGTGTACGTGTTTCTAGTCACACTGGAAGGCCCTGACCCTCCCTATCTAACACTCCAGAGTCTGCACACATATCTGGGTTGACGAGATTACCATTTATTGTTCTGTCGGGTTTTTTTTTTTTTTTTTTAAGATTTTACTTATTTATTTGACAGAGAGAGACACAAGTGAGAGAGGGAACATAAGCAGGGGAGTGCGAGAGGGAGAAGCAGGCTTCCCACGGAGCAGGGAGCCCGATGCGGGGCTTGATCCCAGGACCCTGGGATCATGACCTGAGCCGAAGGCAGATGCTTAATGACTGAGCCACCCAGGTGCTCCTTTTTTAAAGATTTTACTTATTTGAGTGTGAGAGAGAGTGAGAGAGAAAGTACGAGTGGGGGGGAGGTGGGAGGGTCAGATGGGGAGGGAGAAGCAGACACACCGCTGAGTAGGGAGCCCAATGCAGGGCTCAATCCCAGGACTCTGGGATCATGACCTGAGCCGAAGGCAGACGCTTAACTGACCGAGCCAGCCAGGAGCCCCTATTGTTCTGGGGTTTTTTGCTGTCTCTTAGGAGAATCTTCTACACTTACACACCACCAGGTTAGGGACCAACTGAAACCCATGTTCATTATCCCAAGTCTGAAGAATAAGAGATTAATCACACTCTTGCCTGGTTCAACAATGACCGACTGCTGGGAATTCCCATGGGGCAAAGTTCACAAGACAATCCTCCCCATCCAGACTTTGCACAGATAGGACTTTATCTAGGTGGCAATGCAAGTTTTCACAATATTCTCTCCTACTTGTGTGGTCTCATATGGACCTTCTCATGTTTTATAGCAGAATTTTCGAGCCTTTTGAACCGTAAACTTCAGCACTCTTCTAAAAAATCACTTTATTAACTAACCATTATTATTATTTTATCTTTTTTTTTGTTTTTAACAAGTTCCTCAGAGCTCTTTACAAGAGCCTTTTGGAAGTCCTTATCAAACCTAGAAAGAAGGGCACTCCATACATGGGCAATCGCGACTGGTTACAAATAGGGGTCATGTTCTACTTTGCCTGGTTTCCTGCTCGTAACCCCCACCATGGTCTATCTGCAGCCAAGCCACAAGACTCCACGCTGAAGAATCACCTTTGCCCTTTAGGGGGAATCAACTCTGACCTTAGGCTGTAAGAACTGCAGTCAGAAGCAATATGTGCTTCAGTGCTGGGCTGCTCTAGATCCGCATTCTCCTCTGACTATAGTTCCCATTTAGAGCTTCTGGTCCCTCTTCTTGAGCTTGAATTGCCTCCTGGCAATCCAGTTCCAGTAATTCAATTCCTGTTGTGCTTCCATGTACCCGAGTTCCCATCTTGACAGCCTGCTCAGGCTCCCAAGGTTTGGGGCCCCACCTTGCCCTGGTTCTACCCCTGAGCTCCCTGGTTATAAACATCTGTCTTCTTTGGTCTCTGAATGCTGCTCATTCTCCACTGCTGAGGTATATTTGCCTGTGGAAAATCCATGTTACCGAAGGCTGGAATTTCCAGTCCCAGTAACTTGATAAATTGCCACGTATGGTTTGACATTTCGCTTTCTGGATTTCTAGTTTAGCCCATCGCCTACTGCTTCAATCTGCCCCTTCTTTACCTCTTCCTGGCAGGACTGTTTAATTGTAGGTTCTGGATTTTACCACTCATTCAGATTCCTCCTACCTCTGCTGCATTGAGTCCTTTGCACAGAGGAAGACTTCAATAAATATATGCTCCAGACTGAAGGACTCTATAATGCTGATTTCCAGGCTAGGAACACGTGGACCATTCTCCTAGACTTAGTCTAGGAAATGTTCTTTAAAACTATACAGTGATGCCTACTGTTATGGGTTGAAGTGTGTCCTCTCCAAAAAGATATGTTGAAATCCTAGCCCCTGGTATCCAAGAACGTAATCCTATTTGGAAATAGGGTCATTGCAGGTGTAATTAGTTGAAATGAGGTCATTCGGAGTAGTGGAATACAGTGGGCCCTTAATCCAATATGACTGGTGTCCTTATAAGAGAGGGTCACGTGAAGGCAGAGAAATAAAGGGAGACCGTGTGACGTTGGAGGCAGAGATTGGAATGATGCACCTATAAGCCGAGGAGCACCAAAGATCGCTGGCAAACCACTAGAAGGTAGAAGAGGCAAGGGAAGGATCCTCCCCTCTAGGTCTCAGAGGGAGCCTGATCCTGCTGACACCTTGATTTCAGACTTCTAGCGCCCAGAGCTGTGGGAAAAGTTCCTGTTGTTTTAAGCCACTCATTTTGTGGCACTTCGTTGTGACCTCCCTAGGGGACGAATAGACCTAGGCAGCCCCTCACAGACCCCTTATCAGACGCAGAGTATGCACGTAGGCGTGCAGCTGCCTGCTCACGGAGGAGGCTGCCCCATCAGATTCTCTGTGGGTGAAGACTCAGCAGACACATGGGCAGGCTTGACCCTAGGCCTTCCCACAAGCTGAACGAGCCTCCAAAAACTAGACAATGGCTTCCAGATATATAAGGAATATTTACATACACCAGGAGGTGGTGTACATACACATTAAGGCACACCAGACTGATCTCAACAGGGAGCTCAATCAGGAATAGAAGAAAATACACCCTCATTAGAGAAGCCAGATGGCCCTGAGTCTGATCCACAAACAGAAGTGAAAGCAAAGTTATGCATCCCTAACATCAGAAGTTTTGGCTGGGTGGATGGATAGAGAAAGGCGGCGTCGGAACAGGAAGGCACCTATTTTTAGTAGTCAGAACTCCTGGGGTCCTAATGTTGCCAGAAGTGCATTTTCATCTTTGGTCCTTTGTATTTATTTTTGGCAGTATTCTAAGTTGGCCTCCTGGCCATGGCTAAAAGAGGCCGAGAATCTCTGCGAGAGCATGAGAACATACAGGAGTGCCTCCCTGGCCCGGAAGAAGACACTGCTGCATCACACTGTCCCGCCATGGCCATGGGCGCCTCCCGCGCGGCCTCGGGGCAGGAGACCTGGGAGCACAGACCTCCTGCGAGCTGGGAGCTAGAGGACAGTGCTAAATAGTTATTCAGAGATATGGACTGGTTTTGGCCTTTAGTTGCTAAGCATCAAATCAGGTAGAAAAAAGGCTAGAGGTGGGAAAAGGGACACGGGGAAAGCAAAGTAACTGAGAAAGACTCCAGAGAGCAGCAGAGTGTGTGTGACTTTCTTTTTTTCCAAGATGAGGGAGGCCTGTGCAAATCTGGAAGCAGATGAGGAGATTGTGAAGCTGCTGGAAAAAGAAAGGTAACTAAAAGCCAAGACCCCCGGAGGAGCAGGCTTAACTCTGGTGGCTGGAAAGGCGGAATGCCTCCCAAGGTCGCGGTGGAGAGTGGGTATCGTGAGAATTCCAGGAGGTGACAGAGTGAGTGTGGCGTGTAAGAGCTCCCACAGCCAGGTTCAAACGCCTATCTTTGGGCAAATTATCTACCTCTCTGGGTTTCTGTTTCTTCATCTATAAAATCGGCACAATAACCGTTCCTACTTCCTGGGGTTTTGAGAATCTGACGAATTAATACAATTAAAATGCTTAGGACAACATCTGCCACATAGTAAGTTCTCAATAAGCTTAGTGACTTCCATTATCGTTGTTCTTTAGAGCAGCAGTGTCTGGCACAGAATGACCTTTTCCCATTTTTTTAAAGATAATTTTTTTTTAAAGATTTTTTATTTTTTATTTGACAGAGAGCACAAGCAGGGGGAGTGGCAGGCAGAGGGAGAGGGAGAAGCAGGCTCCCCACTGAGCAGGGAGCCCGATGCCGGGACTCGATCCCCGGACCCTGGGATCATGACCTGAGCCGAAGGCAGTCGCTTAACCGTCTGAGCCACCCAGGCGCCCCTAAAGATAATTTTTTTAAGAGCCAGTTTAGGTTCACAGCAAAACTGAGAGGAAAGTAGAGATTTCCCATCTATCTTGCCCAGAATGACTTAGCAAATGTTGGATAACACCTAGTGTTCTTGATGTAGTTATTCTAGACTCACATTACTTTCTGATATTGAAAATAAGAAGCTTTTGGGAAATTCCAAGTTCCACAGAAGCAAAGACTATCAAAAAAAAAAAAAAAAGAAAGCAAGCAAGAAAGAGAGAGAGAGAGAAAGTAAGAGAGAGAGAAGAAAGAAAGAGGAAAGGGGTCCCCCTTCAGCAACAGAATAATTCAGAGACAACAATAAGACCTTGAGATTCTAAGAAAGAAGCTGCTTCAAAGTTAGAACAGCTTCCATTCACTCTAGAGGGCTAACTGCTCCTGTCTGACTAAACCAAAGCAGAATGGGTCAGTTGTGCTCAGTCATTTTTGCCGTGATTTTGAGTTGGGGACCAGAAATATTCCTCAAAAGTAAAAAAATGTAATGGGCAGACTGAA